AGAGAATAATTTCAAATTAAGATTCACAATCATATGATAAAACTTACAATTAATAAATATATTTGTATTTCAAGATATTGGGGGAGGGGGGAATAAAGTGGTTAACTTTAAAAATAAATCATGGTTTAACATTACCCCCCCCCAGCCCCTTCCCTTCCAAAAATAATAAGAAATGCTTTACATGCACTTTGCCACATACGCGTGGACCTTACTCAATATCTTCCCAAGGTAATAAACGAATTTTTAATAGTTTTCAGTTTTAACACGAGTATAACATTAAATCTACAAGTACCGGTTAGGCCAAAAAGTTAAAGACTCGCAAAGACCATAGTTTGGCTACTGTAAATCGCTGCGGTGTACGCAGGCCACAGACCATGATTTAGCTAGGTACACCGCCGCGGTGTACGCAGGCCAAAGTCAATAGTTTCGCTAGGTACACCGCCGCGGTGTACGTAGTGCCGGCCTATTTTTAATTACTATTATTATTATAGGATTTATATAGGCTTACCTTTTAGACGTTATTTTCTGGATGGACTTTTCAACAGCATTTTTTAACTTTTCAAAAGATATACTATCTGTAGGATTCTGTATATGATCAGTGGCCGTTTCATTTTCCTTTTCTCCTTCCATAGAAGTATTTTCTTGTTGCTGTTCGCTACTAGATTCCATCTTTAATTTTCCCGGTCTAAATATTTGGGAACTCTTTTTTTAATAAAACCACTTAGTTGTAAAAGGGAGAATACTTAATCTTGCTGCAAGGGAAGGGCAAGACCTTAGAGAATAAATTAGAATTCAATCATCTAACTCTGAACCCATAAAATGGCATTACTATCACAATTGAGGTAATATATAAATGATTTAAATAAACGTATCTACTTGTAAAAGACTGATGAAACTGATCAAAATCTGCAGTTAAATTTACATTGATTACACTTCGGACTTCGCCACCGATCACTTGAACTTTTTACTTGCACCGACTGATTGCTGAAAAATGAAACCACATGCAAGCCTTGAGGGCCTACTAGGTCCGATACATGCCGTCCATGGCCTTTTCTATTCATGCCAAGACCCCTCCCCTCATCCTCATGTCCCTTGGACCGTTGGGGCGCCACAGATGACATGTGAACCATCCTCCTCCATTCCTCTCTGTCTTCAGCACTACGCACTGCATTGCCCAGTGTTAGTCCTGTCCACTCTTTGATGTTATCCTCCCACCTTTTCCTTTGTCTTCCTCTTCTTCTCCCTCCTCTTGTGGTGCCCTGCAATAATTCTTTGGCAAGCCCTTGTTTCCTTGTTACCTGGCCGTACCATTGTAATTTGCGTTTTTTTACAGTCACCAGTAGGTCATCGTACTCCCCAATTGCCTGAAGCACTCTTTCTTTCACTGTATCATTGGAGATATGGTCCCTATAGTAGATGCCAAAAATGCTTCTGAAGCATCTCATCTCCATGGCCTTTATTTTCCTTTCAAGATCGGCTGTTAATGTCCAGGATTCGGGGGCATACAGGAAAATGGAGAGGACTAATGAACGCATTAGCCTGATTTTGGTGCTGGGGGCTATATTTTTGTCATTCCATATTTTCTTGAGCTTTTTTAGTGCTGTTGTTATCTGCGCAATCCTGGACATCAGTTCGGGCTTGGAGCCTTCTTCTGAGACTATTGCTCCTAGGTATTTGAAGTGGCAGACAGTCTCTAATCTTTCCTCCCCGACCTTAATTTCAGTGGTGATGCCTGCGGTATTATTTGTCATCATTTTTAAGCGAAGACCCCACGGGGTGTAAAAAAAAAAGTGGTCATATAATTTACATCATCAATTCATCCCACTCACAGTCTCAATCTAGTTATCTACCTATGCCCATCTGCCTCTTGGTTTCTGTCTGTAAATGTGAGGTCTTCATTTTTTTCCCAGTACACATTGCCAACCTTAGCTTCTTTTGCCTGTTGGATCTGTTATAATTAATAATACACTTACTGTATAACTTTTTCATTTTATCTTGCTCAACCTCACTTAGGTTTAGGAGGCACAGCAGTACATCATTTTCAAATTTTTCAAAGTTATGGCGTTATGGATTGATCACTGTCATATTATCAATGTACAAGATTATGACTATGACATACATCATTTAAACCGGAGGGTTTATCTAGTAGTCCAGTCTGGCCTAAAGTCCACCTAGTTTTTTATTATTTTATCCAGCCTAATTGAATTGTCGACATTTTTTTTTCACCTTCATTACTGCAGCTTGCAATTTGTTGTGCTGTACAATGATGGGCACTAAAATGTTTTGGACGTGTTATATATGTTCCGTTCTGCACTTATGTCAATAAAGAAAATTAACCCTTCATAACTCCCTGGAGAATTTTCACACATGCACGCACAAATTAATTGGAGGGTTTGTTTCTGTCAAACAAAATTGTCACTAGACTGAATATTACTGATATTTATTACTGGTTATTTATGAAAACACAATGCAATAGTACGACTATAATTACAAGAAGTTGTGACATTTTTAAAGCCTTTTGAAAATAATTAAAAATCATGCATTTCACAGATTTTTTATGTGACATTTGGCTTTATTAGAGATACTAGAGACTGTCATAATTTCAGGATAATTATTGCAGGATTTGTGCATTAATAAAAACTTTGCTCCTGTATGCAGAATATCCTTAATCAACAACCCCCATCAGTGCGTAAATAATATATGGTTGGCCCCTTAATGAAAACCAGCTAATTATCATACATCATGTTGCTGATTGATTGATACATCAATATCATATAATGAGGTCTAATTCAAAGCCTTTTTTTTTATGAGAAATATTGAATATTGAAATATGTTTGTATTGAATATGTTAAACACTGTGATGGACCTCCAAAGAATAAATTAGAATTTATTTTTTTCATCTTTTTAAACCTTTAACTGAAAAATAAAAATTAATTATTTTAAACAAATTAATAATAGTAAAGAAAATGTAACAATCTTCTTTTTTAAATGTTCCAAAAGCTTAAATACTTAAAATTTAAAATATTAGATATCTAAATAGAAATGAAAGTACCGGGTAGTCATAATTATCATATTTTCCATTGATAATATATCTCATAATTTACAATGAATTTTTTCCTCAGAAATATTTGGAGCACAGTTTCCCTTCACACATTCAGTAAACAGAAATGCTTAAATCATCGCATAAGAGACTCAGTGGTTAGAAGTCAGCATTCTGTATCTCTGTTTCATAATCCACTCACCCAAAAAGTTCTACAGCATAACTTTACACCAACTCTTGGCACATGTCCAACAATAGGAAAGAAGTTAGCATCTCCAGTTTCAGTGACACATCAGAGTGTGAGATCAACAAAAAATTATGGAGTGAGGGTGTATTACAAGGGCAGTGCATGGAAGAGATATAACAAGCATAACATAGAAAGGCGACTTACAACACCTGGGGGGTTAGAAATTTTGTGGAGAAAAGTTTTGAAAGGGAGGCACCAGCTGGCTGCTTATGAAAGGATTCTGCCAAATACAGTAAATGGTAAAATTTTACCTGAACACCTTTTCAGGTTTAAAGATCATCCCCTAACTAAGAAAAGACTGCCAAAACCTGGATTATTTTAATTAAGTTTTATAAACAAAAACTGGCAGTCGGTATATACTTATACTTCATATTTGTTCATCTGTGACTATTGTGCTATTAAAAAGTATGTTGCTACCAATATTATTTTTATTAGCATTTATGAAGTATCATTAATGTTGCTGTTGTGTTGTACAAATGTTCTTAGAACTGAATTTTTTATCAACTGATGAGCACCAGAGAAATCTTAACCGTTCAATAAATATTGTTGTTTTCCATTACGCAACAGGGTATGAAAATTGAAATAGTGTATACAGTTACAAAATATTAGACGGTTTTAAAGTTCACAAATATCAAGGTTTGAATCCGTGTTGAGAATTCACTGACACATACATCCCACTTAGTTGTTGAAACTGAGAAGGCACAAATATGGCATCTGGTGCAGAACCTTTGTTAATATTATCAATTTTAAATCTATGTGCTTGCACCATCGGTCAATAACTCTGCGGCAGCATTACTCTTTAAATGAATAAATTTGGCATTTTTCTTTTAAATAGGCTTTTAAAAATAAACACGGAAACAAGGAAAAATTAAAATGTTATTCTTTTAAAAATCTTTAATTAGATTAATTCTATTTTTGAGAACAAGACATTGGTCCTGTAAAATCTTTTCTTGTCATGCCCACGCCAATAAATCAAAGTTGAAATTCGCTACACGAATTTTCATCTTTGATCTACAACATTTAGCTACTTATTAGTACTATCAAATAAAACATATATAAACAAATCATGTTAAATTCATTGCTTTTTTAGAGACCACTCCATTTTCTGCCAGTTGCGATTCTACTAACCTGTCCGTTCATAACAATGCATGCCAACTGAAAAAATATGATTCAATTATTTCTGTATATTGCCAGCAGACAATATACTGTGACATCAAGAAAATGAAATGATCAGTGTGGTCATAGAAAGGTGAGAATCCAAGTAACAAATCTGCCATTTGAACATACTTTAAGAAAGTTATCTAAAACTTGAAAGTTTGTTGATTTGTTTAAAAACAAAATCACTATAAATTCTTGAAAATAAAACATTTTTAATTTCACAGACATGAATTTATAATAATTTTGTATCCAAATAAATAACTAAAAATAGCAATACATACATAATATGTATTTCTTAAAATATAAAAAATTATGTTAAAAAATTCATGATGTATTTTCATGACAAACATTGTGCAGTCAGTTTTAAATTTCTTACATATATGAAGACAATTATAATTTGCAACTGAAATATAATTTACTATCGGAAAGTCACTCTGAAGAGTAAAAAAAATAATTTCATTTGAGCAACAACACAAGTGCTGTATAATTTTAAAAAAAAACATTTTTTTTGGTCTTGGGGAGTCGCAAAATAAATTCTTATTTCAGATGAAAATGGTAACATTAATTCAAAGTAACACCCAACAAAAAAGTTTATTTGAAATTATCAATGGCTCCTGGTTATATCAAATTATCAAAGTTTGGATTATTTAAAAATTGCTTCTATTTTATGTGTTTAGAACTGGTCTGACAAATAAGACTGATATAATATAAGTGGTTGATAAGACATTAAAAATTCTTTCCTAGCTATTTATGCTTTTAACAAATAAAAAATTTAGTAGTTTAATATGGCAGAGGTACAACAATTACAAAATCATTAAGACTCTGTAGCCCACAAAAAATATAATCACTGAAATTACATAAGACATAAGGTAAAGGAGTTTTTTTCCCCTTTCTTTTTATCCCTTTTTAACACTGGATTATTGGTGGGGTTTTTTTTAACAACCAGCAAATGAATTTAAAATTGTTTTAAATACAGTAGAACCCTGTTATGTTGACGGCCTCGGAGGTTTGTCAAAAAGCGTCGAAATAACCGATGATCGAGATAACCGAAAACCAATATGATTGCAATATATTAACATATGATGTGCGTTAATAAATGCAGGTACTTCAGTAAAAATCATAAATAATTTTTTAAATTTTAGTTATTTAGTGCAAATTTCAAATTAAAAACAAGAAACCAGAATCAACTTTTAAACTTTAGTACTTTTTGAGCTACTAATGTTTAAAGTACGAATTCGTTTGGTATTTTCTACTATGGACGAAGTCTCCACATTTTGTGACCTCACTCTGCTGATTGTGTTTTGCGCAGTGACTATATAGTTTATATAAGCAACGCATCCCCTTATTACTAAAATACTATTTAGGGACTACTTATTTTGAACTTTCAACTTTAGCACATGACTATTTAAAGCTTTCCCTGACCAATGGTTAAATAGCTTTTGTACAAGGCAAACTCTTATGAATGAAACCAGAGGCGTAGCGAGGGTGTTAGGCGCCCGGGGACAAGATCCATTTTAAAGCGCCCCCTTTTCTTTTTTTCAACTCTCAAACCCATTATTTTTACCAATAATATAATATCAAAGCACATTTTGGCGCCCCTAACTACCTTGCGCCCGAGGAATCTGTCCCCCCCTGCTCCCTCCTCGCTACGCCTCTGAATGAAACTGATGTAGTACCGCGGCAAAGCCATTATGTAAGTGGTCATGAATGGCTGCCCATGACAATGTTTTGCACACAGCAAATTATGATAATTTATAATATGGACTCTAGCGGGTTTTTAAACCTCGAATTAAAACATATTTATTTAAATTACTTCTAGGTTCATTCTAAAACACAAGTCCTGTATTTTGAGAAATGAATAATTATTTTTAATTATGAAAAACTTGTTTATTTGTTGCTTGCTATGTCTTCTTGCAGTGTTCTTAAGCCGGTGATTGGTCACGGGGATCGAGATAACCGAGGTTAAGTGGCAAATTTGGCCAACTTTTGTGCTAGAGATATCAGGATTCGGCGACATAAAAGAATCGACATAACCGAGGAGAAAATGCTAAGGCAAAGAGTAAGAGAGAATTTGGCGGTTACACTTCAAAAAACGGGTTGGCGAGTTAACCGAGGGAAAGATAAGGGGGTTGACTGTACTTGAATACGTTGAAAATTTTGTTTAGCCACAAATATTAAGTTTGGAATAGTTGATCTTAATGTATCTATCATTACACATGATTTCCTAAAGTTTATAACTGATTCTGAATTATTTAACATTCCTATTTTAAGTAGGGTAAACAGCATAAATCTAGATAATTTCACAACATGACTCTGAGATTTTGTGACCTTAATTAATGTTCCAATTCCCAAACTTTATTTTAAAATAAAAAAGATATTGGCAATCATAAAATAACCCCCAATAAATTCAAATGGTACAGAGCTTTGTGGAAGTTCAAAATGTAAAATGACTCTTTGTTTTTTTTTTACTTTTTAAGTTTTTTGGGCTTGAAGGGGTTATGAGCAAAAAGATATATAAAATTAACTTTGAAAAAAATAGATTTAGATAATTTCATTTAAATCTCAACTTGTTAAGTTAGAATACCAGTAATTATAGTTTAAGAAAAACAAAATTAGTATATAGTGAAAATTTACATTTAAAACACATAGATCTATAAGGATAATGAAAACTAATGGGACTTAAAAAAAACAAACATGGGAAATTATTTTTACTGTCGCCACGCCACCACCGATTATTTTGGTAAAGTTTTAAAATTCATGTTTTAAAAAAATATTGCATCATTTATTTTGATTTAAAGACTGGAAACAACTATTTTAAAATGTTCTTATAATCCATTCATCTTTCTTTACTATGACATCCACAAACCAAATTGTTATCATTAGTGCAGATAACAAAAGAAACTTTGATAGGCCCCAGGGAAAACACGGCAGTGTGTTGTAATGTTGCATATTTTGTTATTTTAAAAAATTGGAGTTAAAGACACATTTTTGCAGCAAAGATCTATCAACTCAAACAAAAAAATTATAAAGGATACTCTGCATAGTTTGAAAATACTGACTTAATTTTGATTGATTAGTGTTCAACACAAACTATATTTTGTTTCTGGTGTGTCCTGCTTCATTTTCAAAACCTCCCTTCCCCAACTCCACGTTTATATTTATATAATTAGTAATAAAAAATTTTTTTTTTAAAAGGCTGTCAGTCATGCTTGAAGAGTTGTGAATCAGTAACAAAAGAATTTTTTTAGAGGGATGCGACTATATTTATCAACAGAGCCAATGGTATGGTATAGCATACCTGTTTACTCTTACGATTTTGGCGTACAATGTACGATTTTGAGGTGTATACATTATATATACAGCACGTTTTTGCTCTATAAAGAGAATGTATTGAACAATTATATGATGATATTGTACGATTTTAAGGGTTTGAGGGTAAACAGGTCTGGTATAGCACTGTTTGTATAACTGCCTGTGGGCCTATTGTTTAAAGTAAAGGGTGGCATATTTAATAGAAAATGAGAAGTTAACTATTTTTTCAAAATACATGGACCCAGTGTAAAATAACTGCACCCAGTTAAGCCCTAGTATACTATAATTTGTTTGTAGAGACAAGCCTTGTAATACTGGTCTTCAGGATGTTTTCCCCCATTTCTTACAAGTGGAAATCCTGTTTAAACTCTTTGTCGCAAAAGCGGATTTTATGTTCATATCTTTTACATGAACATCAACAATTGGTCACCATCATGTGCAAGTACACTCTGCGTGCAATTTTAATAGGTCCAAATTTAAAATTCTCTACAATTCAGGAAGAGGAACAACATGTTCACCAATAGCAATAAAGTTCCTTTCAATTATTTTTTTTTCTCATTTCCTGAGAACCTCAAGAAGATTCGTGGTAACTATTAAATCAATTTCCTTTGACTACAGGATCTTATTTGTTATATTGCAAGAATGTCATTCCAAATATTTCAGAGAAAGCCATTACAAATGACCAAGTTGCAATTTTTTTCGCTCTATCCATCTACCTCTTCTCTTGCATCCACTTCCTGTTCAATGTCTGCTAAAAAAAAAAAGTCTAGTAAGTAGACAACGCTTTCAGGCGGTATCCAGCACTGAGACAAGGTGTTATTAGATGACAATCTTATCCTGTTAATGCTTACAATACATAAATTCTAGCAAACATTACATGTTTCAGTTTGAAAGTGAAATTTTATTCTTAAAAAGAACTCCACATCTCCTTGATTGTTTGCTCTAAGAAAAGATTGGTATTTTTCCACTTAAATTTTTCACATGCTCACATCCTTGAATGTGACTGAAAGTAAATTTCAATGGATTAGTGGGTGAAAAGTCTTGATGTGAAATCCACTTTTATTTAATGGTTCTTTCATTCTTGTTTCTTCAAGAATTGCACAAAGCACATGTCAAATAACTTCAATAAAACAACAGATCACAACATGGTGCCCTATGCGGTAAGACAGCATAGATGCAACATTATTTAAGAAATAAAAGCTTTTTACAAAAAATATAGGTGGCTCTCACAAAAACCATATATTAAATCTTAGAAGTTACATCATTTACTAAAGCAACCTATTTGCACACATAGAAATATCTTCAAAGTATCTTAATACATTAAATACTGCTGTAATTTAGAATTTCTTAATTGACAATATGAATTATGCAATAAAAGAATAAGAGGATTCAACAATAAGAGGCAAGTACCAATTTTAAAAAAACAATGAAATGAATTGCAGATTATTCTCATGGATTAAGTTTTTTAACTGTAAGGAGATATTTCTATCTGAATTTCACTATAATCATAGTGTAGCTTTAGCCTCCTACATATTAATATATAGATTAAACACTCAACTCTAAAGATCAGTTATATCATTAAAAAAAACATTGCTTTTTTCTTTTTTTTTTAAGACATGTCAACAAATTAAAGGTAAAGTTGTATAAAAAAAAGGAAAATTTCATGAAAATGTTTTTTCAATTTACTGACCAAACATAAAAATATATCATGCATGAATTTGGCAAAATTTAAGAACAATTTATTATTATTTCACTGACTGTAAATTTGACCAAATTTAATTAAAATATGTTATATTTACATGGCTATTGAGCTGTCTCCTTAACAACCAGTAGGGAGCAGGTTAAAATATGTCAGTTGTCCCCAACTATGGACAAATAACCGAAAGAATAAACTCATCAGCCCAGCTTGGCAGTTATTCTTTGAGTCGGGAAAAATATCCTGAATAAAAACGTAAAAACAATGACATGGGAAGACTGCAGCGAACTTGCCAACTCACAAGACTTGGTAAATGTTATACAACAACAAAAAAGGAAACTATCTACGGCTTTTGTCACTTTTGTTGTAAAATACTGATCACTAGAACTCTACTATTCCTTTTTTAAAAAATAAATAAATAGGATACATGTATTAAACTTACTTCTGTCAATCTGTTTGTAGGAAAAAACAGTATGTACAAAAGACTATACAAGAAACTAATGACACTTAACATCCAAAACCATTATTAATACAGATTAAATTGCAGAGATGCAAGCTTTAACGGGTCGGACAAGTTGTAGTTCACTTCCTTGTGTGACGATTGGGAGGTTGTTTTGTCTGTGGTAGTTGATTAAGTGGCTGACACTGTCAAATATGAAGTCCCTTGTTCTCACCTGAATGTAAATATTAAAAATTGCATTTTAGAAATTATTATAAATAACGTCATAGGACTTGCCATGCCCTGAGTCAGAAAACAGTATTTCTGTAATCAAAGTTCATAAAACTATTTTTGTTTGCTCATTACTGCCTTTTAACTTTGAATTCATTTAGTCAGCTGACAACTTGTACATATAAAATGAAATATTTATTTATCTTTAAGTTTTTGAGTTTTCCATTTATATCATGATTAATACCCCCTCCAATGAGATTTTCATAATTTACATTAGTAATGTATAATTTACTTGTCTTTTAATCTAGAAATTTATCATTCATGTTTTTACTAGCATCTAGCCCCAAAAAATACAAAATAAAACTTACAATGCCCTCTGGGTCGACTAATAAAAGATGCCTGGGTGCACCAGTCTGTTTTCCGCTGAGAACAAATTGGCCTGGACTGTTTGAGCTCTTCCTTACAAGAAAGTCACCATCAAATTCAAGCAATGCTTCAGCCTGTCAAATATAAAAATATATCCATGCACGTGTTCATACTTAATTTCAAGTATAGATGTGGTACCAGGTATAGTATATAGATAAAGTAAAGAAATTAAAAATTGCCATTTACTTATCAGTATGATTATTCAAAAGTAATTATTTTTTAAAATCGAATCATGGGGTAAAAAAAGGTAGTAAATAATTAATAAAACAACAATATCTCAGCTCCAGACAAGCTACAACATGACTCACACTTTGTTAGTCATTTTTTGCAATACTTAATATTTAGAAATTTCTAAATCATAGATATTTGAGGTATACTTCATTTCCTTATGTAGTTTTGTAATAATCATACAAAAGAAAATGATTAGAAATTTCTTTTTTAATTTTTTTTTTTTTTGCAATAAAAATGTTTATTTTTTTTAATTTTTAAATAGATTTAAAGATACATTTAATACCCGGTACTTAGTTAGTTAGATATATGTCCTAATAACAAAGTCTGCATATTTCATAAGATTAGATGGTGTTGTTGTTACTTGTTAAGTACTTTGTTTTTCATGCATAAGTTATAAGAGTTGAATTTGAAATAATTTTTTAAAACTAACAACCTTGTCAGTCAGTTTTTGCAATACTTAATATTTAGACATTTCAAAGTCATTTGCAATCACTATTCACATCACTTACTGAAAGTGGTCAAACTGATTTATATTATAGGTCTAATACTAATAGAGCATCCTTTACTTTTCTAGACCATTGACCGATTAACCTCATAAGATTAACAATTACCCGTTCCATTTTGTCAATCATTTTTATTAGAAACAATATTCTTTTTTTGTCTTTCTTTTTTAATTTGACAGAATTAAACCCTTCAAAACAGCTTAGTCAGTTATTTATAACAGATGAACATGTGTTGAGTATAAATGTAATAGTTTTGACCTGTTTGCGTGTTATGTCGCTGTGGTACCATTCTTCAAATACCGGCTCTAGAGCTTCAGCAGCTGATTTGTTTTCCCTCAAATCCTTTTCCACTTCAGCCTTACTGATCCTTTTGGTGGAAGATGGTGAAATAGGAAGTTCTGGTGCGGGTGGCAGTTCTACACTAAAAACCTCTGTAATGGATATTATGAATTATGTATAATTAAAACATATTTGTACACCAATTAACAGCAAATACCAGCGGCGTAACTACTGTGGTAGCAGCTAGAACCTGGTTGTATTGAGGGACCCGGCCAAATCTTGAAAACAAAAGTTATGAGAAAAATGTGAACTTTAAATAAATTTCACAATCTTTGCATTGGCCTTATTTCCATTTTTTTTTTTACAATCCTAAGAGATAAAACTATACCTGGTATTACTTCCCATTCAGATTTTATGCCCTGATTGTTGCCAAACCAATGTCAATATGAGTTGAAAAATCAAAGGTGTCAAGAAGACTTTTAGAACACAAGGTACTAGTGATAATGAAAGAAATATAAAGTCTCAGTGGGGCAAGGGTGTAGTGGTCATTATAGTGTTATTGCTTCCAAAAAAAAATTTGATGCCTAAACTGTCAAGACTAAAAATGTTTCAACAGCAAAGAAATTTTGCTTCTCTTTCAATTGAAACAAAGTCATGAGCACCAATTAAATCAATTTCCAACAGACTGAGCCAATATTTCTGTCCATGCAAGTGAGAAAAGAATCAAAGGGTTTTCATGAAACGTGAACCATGTGACCCAAAGATGCTTTCCCTCTGGATCAGAATCAAAACTAAAAGTTTTGTAATAAAAGCATTTTGTGATGAGAACAAAAGATTGCAAGGCACTTGGTTATGTTAGTCTCCAAAACTTGTAAGTTGTCAAATGTCTAAGTGTTATGTCACTGGAGTTTCTGATGAAATACAAAGTCTGAACAATGTTAATATTATATGTAAATTTATGGAGGTGGTAAACGTGGTTCCAGTCACCACAAAAATAATTCAAGATTACTTAAAAGTTTATCAAACAAAGTGCCAGTTGAGACTGACATGGAAAACTATAAATTAATAATTTCAGCAAAAAAAAAATGTGTAGGTTTGTGTGCAGTTCACGATCAAAAAGCTGCAGCAATAATCGATGCAAACATTTGAAACTGAATGGAAGAGAAAGGGACTGATCTGTTGAAATTTAGCATCCAAGGCTATGTAAGTGCTGAGATGACTAGACACCACCCTGGAGTTGAATGCTTTTTACACACACTGATTCTGAATGATAAGTTTCTCAAGTACAAAAATTTGCATAAATTAGTTTAATCATTCAAGCGCTTAGAACGCTATTTGGTAGCAGCATCAAATGATAGGTTATTTAATCATCTTGACTGATGAATGCGTTAAAATTTTTGAAGAGAAGTTCCACAGAAAGTAAGTTTGAACTGATAGGTATGTTCATTTTTAAACTATGAACAAGCTTTAATTGTGTCTATCAGGCTTGCATGCTTAGTACGTTTCCTATATGGCAGTGAAGTGTGGTCCACACATACCAGTCATGAGCAGAAACTCAACAGCTTCCATCAAAGATGTCTGTGTCGCATTTTACGCATTCGATGGCAGGACAAGGTGCCAAACACAAATGTCTTGGAACGTGCCAAAATGTGTAGCCTATTTCCACTCTTAGGAAAAAGCGCCTTTGCTGGTTAGGCCATGTAATGAAGGAAATATGTAGTACATCCTTATGATAATAAGGGGGTAGACTTTGAAAAGGTTAGGTAGAAGTAGAAGGAAATATGTAGTACAAGTACAAAATAGGGGAAAACTTTTTTTTTTTTAAAATCACAACAAAACCAGAAACGTGTCAACAACAAGCCTTATCAGCGATCATGTTTTTTCAGGTGTCCCCCCACCTTGTACTACATAATTTCCTTTTATTCCTCCTTGGAGAGCTTTGGGTTTTGTGGCAAACAAACTTGAAATAGATAACAAAATTATACTTTACCCATATCAAATGCATCCATCGTTCTAAAGCTTTGCTCTTTTTCACTGGGCTTTCCTTTGAGATCAAACTCCACACCATTTGTCTGTTCACTTGCAATGGATCCATCAGCTTCACAATAAAAAGATTCATTTATTATTTTACAAGCTGAAACAATTAGTTCAGATAAGAAACATGCAACCTCTTTATTAAAGTTTGTGGGTTTAAAGTTTAAACTTCAATGGTCACATTTTAATACAGTATAATTAGTTCATGTCTTATAAGACACGAAACTATATTGATATTTTTCACTTGAGCTAACTTTCACACCAACGATAATTTATAAGCAATTTATGCTGATTAATTTTTAGAAAACATCATAATGAAGATTTTTAAAATAAAATTTGTAGGAATGATATACTGCACTGGTACATTTACATTCAATTCATGTTAGCTCACTTTAATTACCCATTCGTACCCCAAATAAGCATGTTTTAAAAAGATTTCAGGAGAATGAGTTAGGTAGTCGGCTTATGAGTGGGTCATAGGAGATTTTTATAATCTTCTCCGGGTACATTGACTCTATTATACAAAACAATGAAGAAAAAAGTAATAAACGTAAGTTTAAGCTGTTAACTAATTGGCCGTGTATGAGAGTGACTGTGCTTAGAGAGTATCAAAGCACCTACATTGAATGATTAAATTGTTATTGTAGATCGCAGAGGTCCTATTTTTTTAAATATTTTGTTTATAAGGGTTACTGTATAAACAGATTGATGTGAAGTTTGTTAAAAGAAATATAATTCTTTAAGTATCGTATTGCATCTACTGACATATTATTTTATGGGACTAGTGTAGTGAACTTCTTTCTTAGAGCAAGTTGCAAAATTTTTTAAATCCTGCAGTAGATTCATTTACGGTACGGGTAGTTTGATAGGCTCCGTGTTGTCTAAGGGGAAAATATGTTCTAGGATATACTTTCATCGTTCTGTCTACACTGGATGATGAAAAGCAATTAAAACACCAGGTTGACAACGCTAAAGTTATTTATTTACAAGGCCAAATTGAATAACAACAAGTTCACAAACCTCCTCTATAAAAGCCTAACTACACTATGGGGACAATACTGTTCTACGCTAAATTTAACAATTTGTCACAGGCAAACTAGGATTGCTCTAAGAAGATAACTAACTACCGAACTCTCAGCAACACTTGACATACTAACTTACACCCCATCGACCAATCACAACTGGCCCTCACAAAACTATTCACCATCTCATGATCAACAACTATTCCATACAAACAAAACCAGTGCATAACAACTGGGTTACATACTATTCATGCTTTTCCTTGACAAAACTAAAGGGTTGGCTTATGAATGAACGGGCTTATGAGCGAGTATATATGGTAACCTAATATTAGCCTTTCAAAGTACTTACTTCTGTCAAAGTTAGGGAATTCTGTGTCTTTTTCTTCTTGAAGGGGTTTCTGTAGTTAAATATAACAGAAAGTGTTTAAATACTTAAAATTAATTTGTATTTCTTGTTAGCCATTTCACTACATGAAGAATCCAATGACAAATGGCATCAGAATCATAGACTTTGCCTCAGGAAAAGGGATGACAGCAGCAACAAGTTTCCACACAAGAATGTACGTAGAGTTACTTGGTACTCACCAGATGGAATCACTCAAAACCAAACTGACCATGTTCTAATCGATAGAGCCATGGATCAGACATACTAAAAATAAGACACTATCAAGGAGCAGATGCAGACCTTGACAATCTACTTGTAAGGGTGGGGTTAAATATAAGCAGAGAATAAGCATAACACACAATGGCTGAAACCAAAGAGAAAAACGGTATCATTACCAAAAACTCACCAAAGACCCCACTAACTGCAAAAGCTTACCAAAATGAAGTAGAAGCCCAACTAGAAACATCACAGAAAGAATAAACAGGGAAAATAACACAAATGATAGGAGAGGATAAAAAAAGCAATGGAAAAAATCAGCAGAAAAAAAAGCAGGATTTCAGCAAACCAACAGTAGAGTAGGCTGGTTTGATCATGAACAATAATAATAATAATACCGGTAATAATAAAGTTTATTTGAAAAACACGCTTCATCCCCAAAAGCTCGAAGCGCGGTACAAAGTCAACCATATTAAAAAGAGAAATAAAAACAATCTAAAATTTACCACATTTAAAAACAGACGCAACCATATAAAGCTACCCAGTCAAAGTCCTTCATCCCGTTTCAACCATAAGCAACACAAGCCAATATACATTAACTGAAAAAGATGGTAGATAGCATCACCCCAGAAGGTGTTTGTGAAATAGATGTGTTTTTTAATTGGTTTTAAATTACTCCAGTGTCTGGCAGAAATGTTGTCAAAGAAAGGAACAAGGCACGAATGACCACGATACAAAGGAAAACCAGAAATACAAGACAAATATACAATAAAGCCAGGAGAGGCACAAAAATGTGCAGGAAGAAAAAAAGGAAAGGGAAAAAGCTAAACTAAAAGAAATAGAAGACCTCAAATGTGTGACAGCAAAGATTCATTACGGAAAATAGTTAAGTACTGGAGAGGTGGGCTTAATATTTTGAGGCCATACTAAATGCAAAGGACAAGATGAAGATTATCAACCACCACATGGAGGACAAGGCCGCCAACTTTTGAAAAAATTAACAAACCCCCTGAAGACCTCATATAAACAGAACTTATTAAATATGGAAGAAGAAATTTACACAGACACATAAACTTAAAACCTGGCATGAAGAGAAAGTATCCGATTTTTACCATCAGATGCCGATTAGAGACATATTATGAATAATATATCCCAGTACATCAACTCTATGTGGACTATAGAATGACTTATGACAGTATCAAAAGAAAATATCTATATGAGACTCTGAAGGAGTTTGGCATTTCAAAAAAAACTTACAAGAATGATACATATACCCTAACTTAAAAGAAATAAAAAAGCAAAATCAAGGTTCAGGGTAAATTTTCAAGGAAATTTCAGATTAGACGAGGCCTAAGACAAGGAGACTCTCCGTCTTGTATGCTATTTAAACTTAAATTAAAAAAGAGTTATAAGAAGCATAGATATTGACACCCTTGGAACAATCACAGGATACTTTCTGAGGGAAACTTGAGACCAACAAGCAATAGGTACTGACTAGGTACTGTCTACACCAACCCCTTTACTGTTTTGCACATTTTTTTGTTTGTTGACATAGCACTGTTAGGGAAGAGTAATAAAGATATATTATAAGCTTTCATTGAATTAGAAGATGTCATCACTAAAAGCAGAGATGGAAGTTGACCAAAAAACAAAATACATCACTATGTTAAGAAAAGAACAGACCGATGAAACCATTAAAATTAGCAACCACACTTTTGAAAAAGTGTATCAATTCAAATTTCTAGGATCCTTAATAAATGAAAGAAATTAATTACTAACAGAAATAAAAGAAAGAATATCGGCTGGAAAAATTGCATAGTTCAGTAGTCACAAAATACTAAAAACATTACAAGAAAAAACAAAGAAAACTATATATAAAACTAAAACTGTAATCAGACCAGTAACAATATATGCCAGTATAAATTGTCCCTAACAAAAATAGCAGAAAACCTATTAAACACATTAAACTTTCCAAGTGAATCCCTTGTTAAATTAATCATAAGGTTTATTTGCACATAAAAATATCTTTATATATAAACAAGCTAACTTATCACATTAAAAATACATATCCCCCTGTGTTGATTTTAAACTGATATTTATTTAAGTTAAAGGCTTACATTACTAGGCAAACTGTATTCAGGACGAGGGGGAACAATTGGAGTAGAACCAGATGCCTCGGCAGGAATGGGTGGTGTTGCATCTGGATTATCATTGTAGTAATCTTCCTTGTCACCCCACCTTTCATCTTCAAATCCAGGGTTGTCTCTTCTTAAAATATTTAAAGAATTATTGGTGTTGCTTTTTTAAAAAATGTAAAATGTTTACCTTTAAAAAAATGGCTATGTTGCTTTTATCCTACAAGGCTGATTACATTTTCATATCAAATGACTAAGAAGTAAATAGCATATTACCTGTCTGGAAGTTGGACTGTCTTAGGTTGTTTTTTCAAATACTGTTTAAATCTAAGTTCAAAAGCCTGGCCAATAGTTGTTACAACATCCTCTGCTAGACCACCACCACACTCTAAAACATGGCAGGCACGACCGTACTGGGGATCTTTTGCAACATACGAAACAAAGTCCAATGTATCCTAAGGATAAGAGAATTAATTTATTGATATGCAGACAGTTTGAAGTAAATTTAAATGCTCAATAACATTCATTACACTTACACTCCTCAAAGTTTAAACATTCCAATCATTTATATATTTGCACTAGAGAATTGAAACTTTAAAAAATATTTATACTTACAACGTCACCACCAGAAGCAAAAGAAACTACGTGCAAAGGATGATCAGCGATAATCTAGTTATTAAGAAACAAGAGGTCAGGTTTCTGAGCCGGTGGTGATCAATGCATTTATCATGAATCTTATCTCTAAATGCCAATATTTGGTAGGCACTGCTAAGCAACTTTAAAATAATGTAAAACAATACCATCAAAACTCATTAAAAAATATAATAAACATGAAATGGAGCGCTTTTTAGATTATTTTTATTTCAACAGAGTTCAAATTTCAAATCACAGAATTTTTAAATACCAACAAATTAATCATTCAACTTGTATCCTCCTAAGTATAAGCAACAACGTTTATTTTTTCTTCCACTAATTTTGGACTTGAGAGCTATTTCATACAATCAAAATTTAAAATAAAACTTTAACATATTTTGTTGATGTGGCTCAGTTAATTAAGACAACAGTCCAATAGATGTATAAAGAAGCCTTCTATTTTATTCTAAATTTCAATTTCATCTATTTTCTAAACTTTGAAAAAATACACAATTACTTTCAGCTATTTGAACCATTCATAATGAAGTATTGGTAGCGCAATTAATTAAATGTTTTTTTTCTCCCCATATTGAATTACTAACCTCCCCTGATTCCATGACCATCAGATTTATGCTCCCTGTTGTAATAGTGAGATTAACATTGGACCCAGCATACTGCATATGTGGTGAATCTCCCATCATCTTTGCTAATTTACGATCAATCTGAAAGATTTCAATAACCAATTAAGAATGAAAATCCACTTCTGTCAGTTGTGAAACATTTGCTTAATTATTCAGTACATAAAGAAATTAAAATATATTTATCATACTTCTTCACTTCTTATGTCTTTAGTACTTCTACAGTATTTTTATTATTTTATTTCTGCTCTTCCAACTTTCCCTTCCCACTCCCACCCTTTTCTCTCCCTATGGTGTTTTAAGCTGCATACAGCACTTGAAAATTTTATAAACTAATAATAAACTATCTGACTGATGGACTTCAATAACACTGCGCCTTTCCTACAATGTTTCTACCCATTAAGTCATCCACTTGAGTACCGGTTCACTGAAGCTTTATGTTTAAAAACTATATCCCACTCATTCAGTAAATGTATGAATTACTTAGATACTGGTTGAATGCCCTACTTTTTCTCAGGTAGATGGAAAGCTTTTTGGTGAATTGTGCAAATCTTACTCCCTACCCATATTTATTTGCTAAACCGAGCAAATGGCTCAATGGTAATTTACTAAAATCAATTCTTTCAATTTATTTTTTTATTTGTTTCACTATTAAACCAGTTGGAAAAAAAACATAAATTTATTTCTCCAATGATGACTATGCTTTTAAAATTCTAATTTATGGTGTAGTTTCATTTGTTTTCAAGGTTAGTTATAAATAATGTAAATGCTTATTTGAAAAGATTGGAAAATTGGGAAAGTTTGGTGCTTTAAATTAAAAGATATCTTTACATATTTATTTAGGCATTTTTATATAGCGCTTATCATATCTGTATGTGTATAGAAATTTATTTTCATGTGATCTAATTAAAATGTTTGGATTTTTAAATTATGTTTGCATTCTAAATTGATAAACCATAGTACTCTTTGACATTGTTATCTCAGCCATTAATTGCTTCTGTATTACTTATTACTAACCTTTTTTCTTTTAGAGGCTGTTTTCAATCCAGCTGCCTCAGCCACTCTGTTTATTGACTCTCTAGTGCCGTAGCAGAAGAAAGATAAATGTTGTGTACTTTCCTAATCCTTAAATAAACATGCAGCAGTGCATTTTGCTTGTACTTAAAATGAACATGTTGCTTGCCAACGTAGTTAAAAACAACAAATTATAAGAGATTCATTACTATTACTACTCTCTTCTTAAAAAATGAACATAAAATTATACAAGGAGACTACAAACATTTTATTCATATTCCTCCACATTAAAAAAATATATTTATAAAAAAGTACCATAGAGATACTTAATAAAGACTTTAGCCTAATTTCTGTGAGAATGGATTTTCAATGTTTCTTGAAAACCAAAAATTAACAGATTACATCTCTAGTATGACATGAGGTTAGAACAGGGGTCGGCAACCTTTTGAGACGGAAGAGCCAAAAGTTACAATTTACAAAATTTACCAGTTTTTAAAGAGCCACTAACATTTTTATTTAATTAATTTTAATATAATTATTAATATTTGCGCATGGAACTGGAGAGCCGCATCTTGACATCAAAAGAGCCGCAGGTTGCCGACCCCTGGGTTAGAATTAATGAAACTCAACTGCTAATGTTGAAGCTTGTTATAATGATGCTGCAATACAGGCATGGTTAAAAATATTCTCAAAACATTACTGTTTCTTCAGCCTCTTAAATCTATTTTAGTGTCTTCGTCATTGGAGAAACAGTCACAACACACAAAAGCATTTAACATACCGGTATGATTTTAAATATTTATTAAGGGAAAAATTAACAAAATATAGCTCTTTTATAAGCTTTATACTTAATACTAACCTGGCTATTGTAGTTCTTGTTTCAAAGTCTAAGCTTTTCATAGATTCTTTTATCTCTAAGCAGCCTATATACTGTGGCAAAAAGTAATTATGCCATTATTTCAACATATTCAGAGGCAGAATTTATTTTTTTTTAAATTTAATATCATAAATTTAGGTTTTCTATTTTTATAAGTATCTCTGAATTCATTTGGAATATAATCAACTTTAAATGAAAGAGTACTTACCCTCACACCATAGCAGATACCAGCATCAGGCAAAAGCTGGACATCTGGGTGAATCCACCCCATTTCTGGCTTATTCATGAAGCTTCCTGTTCGTGACCACTCAGAACTAGACGTCGCACCACTTTTGTTACTGCTCTTTTTCTTAGATTTGTCCATCTACACAAATGTCATAGCCTTAAAGAAATGTTTACACAAAGAATGTCCTCACAGGAATAAAAAAGCATCACTGATGCTGAAATGTTTGAGCACGTTACAACTGTGTTGTCACTGTTAGTAAATTATAGTAAACTAGGGCTTAACCAGGTGCAACTTTTTTAAACCGGGTCTGGATATTTTGAAAATATACACGGTGGGTCTAAGTGTTACAAAAAAAAGAGTCCTACAGACAGCCCTACAACCTACCTTCTGGCCTATAAACAATAAGCCTACAGACTTTCCTAAACCCTACCCACCGACCTTTAAACAATAGTCCTACAGACAGTCCAAAATAATACCCATGGCTCTTTATTGATTATTATAATAGTTGCCTCACCCTAAATCACCTAAATCAGAAAGAAAAATCACATTTTTTACCAGAGTTTATCCGCCACTCATGATGCTTGCTGTGTGACAGCTTTTTTTTTCATTCCGTACTACTCATATAAAACATTTGGGGGGGGGGGGGGGGAATGACACACAGAAAAAAAAAAAAAAAAAAAGAAAAATAAAAAAAAAAAAAAAAGATTTTCGAGAGGGGGGGAATGACACACCAGAAAGCAAAATACATATAAGATAAATATAAGAGAAAAAAAAACGGATCTTTTTATTATGGAAGAAGATTTAATTACATTGCATGACTATATAAAAGTCAATATAGATGGTTATGCAGCAAAGATGTGTGTACCGCAGCAGTTAATTAACTTACTGTAAAAATAGTTTTAAGAGCAGTAAATTAAATAAAGTTGAGGATTCTATAATGAAAATAAAAAAAAGAGTGTATATTTTTATGACTATTTTTTCCAACTTTTACATTGAGGAAAAATATTTATTTTTTATAATTTAATTACATAATCGTATACTGATAAACAGGCCTTAATTCCTTTTAACAAACACAAATTTTTTTTTAAATGTGTAATAAAGATATAGATCTAATATATCTTATAATATACATACAGTGTCCAGGACTTAAAAACTGAATCCTGTGAATAAACAGCATATTCTTTACTACAAAACCACACACGTTCAAATAATAAATATGCATTAGCCTTTAACTACTTTAGCTGCTATCTCAAAAGTAGATCAATAATGCAGCCTGGAAAACACAGCCTAAGGTCCAAGCAGTAACTACACTACGTTTATTATAGGCTATAGTCTAAATTAACTCAATAGTATAAGACATAGGTGTTACAAACCAGTTCTTACCAAGGTTCATTAGCTTTGTTTGTCTAGGGTTTATTCATTTACTTAAAACAAACCAATGCTTCATAAAACAAACGTCTCTTTATTCAAATACAATACATTCCGAAAATCCAACACCTCAGCACAGCCATCATTCACACCATAACAACCCCTCTAACAGTCATTTCCCCTTACACAAAATACTAAGCATTTAATAGTATTAATAGCAACATCTACCCAAATACTCTCCAAACAACACACAATCACAATAAACATACAAGTCCTTAAACAGACCTGTTTACCTTTACTAAGCCTTTAGGTTAGTGTTGCAGTGGTTTTCAGGGGACCAAAAGCTTAATTATAACTTAATAAATAATTCTATAGTCTTATAGTATAGTATCTATAATATTAATTATGTGAAGGAATAGGCCTTACTGTCTATACTATAAGTATAATAAGCCTACTTTAATGCCTAACACTAATTATGCCTACTTGCATAGGTAAGAGAGGAAGGAGGAGGCCCAGTGCATTACCACAGTGCCCAGATTGGATCATGATCACCCTTGTCCATGCCTTATTAAGACAGGACTGGTCATAAGTAGGCCTATGCCTATATTATTTTAATATTATTATATAAAAGTTATCTTTAGTAGAGTACTATCCTCTAAATCTAGCGGCACCAGCTAAAAATATTGTCAACAATAACATTTAAAAATTTATAGGCCCTGCCCTTAGCTTATAAATGTACTAATTAAATTTCTTACTAATCAAATTATTAGTAAGTCCAGTAAGTGTAAGGGAAGGCCTTCACCAGTTCCGTCATAGTTAGAGGGTGTCTACCTAGTCTAAATTCTTTTACAATCATTCTTCAACAGATAAGTCAGGCACAATCTATTTATACTCTACACTTCAAACAATGTCAATTAGTTAACGGTAACAGCACTATAACTGTCACTAGTACTAGAAATAGAGAGAGTGACTCTTTACTACTTAATACGAATACTAGCTTATTAACTAAGTTAAACTTATAAGAAACTATTGTAATTTACGGGGACGACTGTCACAATTTTATTGAATTTCACGAATGTATTCCTAAATCGATCCCTAAGCCTAACCTGAACCCTAAATCAATCCCTATCCCTAAGGGCTAACCTGAAACCTAAATCGATCCCTATGTAAAACTATGTTGCCTAATTCACTGCAACTATAATAATATTAATAATTATTAATTAACACACAAAAAGACGCCCCTGCCTACTACTACTATAGTATGCCTAATTAGCATTGACAACTGATTAGGCCTATTTATTTCTTAGCCTATGCCTATTATTATTATATGTCATTCACATTGAAATGAAGTTTTGTAACAATAACAATTCAAGTAGTACTATGTTATGTACTTAATTTAAGTAAGTAATAATACTAGTAATACGTAGACGTAGGATTCTACTAGGATGGTCGTATGAGTATCAGTATGACTGCTGAATTTAATGAACTATAATATATAAAATATATAGCCTAATTTAAAAATTCTACTGGATAAGCCTATACTATACAAAACATTACTTGTACCTACTGTTAAAAGAAACAAATTTAAGTATCGACAGGTGATGTCACTTAAATAGCTAACCATCCAACCAGGAAATGTTTTTTTCCCCCATTTCTGCTTACATTTTGCATTCGCTTCAATTGGCACGTAAAATCAATTCAGGTACATATTTACATGGATCGAAACTTGAAAACGGTGTTCAAGCAACAGGTGATTGCATTGAAAAGAAATCAAGCCAAATTGAGATTTAAATTCAATTAGCGGTTAGAGGATAAGAATGATGCAGAATTGACATCTATGTTTAAAAAGAAACTTAAATGTTAAGTCTACTTTTAAACAGATTTTGTTTTTCCTCTTTCCGTTACATTTTTGGATACAAGCTACGTGTGTGTAAGTGTAATGTACTAGTAATATGTGAATGTTCTGTACTGTCTACGTACGTAGAGTTAATACTCTTACAAGTTACGTTACATCCATACGGCCCACGCATACCATCTTCAACAAAACTAAGAAGTGTTTTTGTAGATACGTGTTACATATATTTTGCGTCTGGTGCGTCCCGTTTCCTCTTCAAAACCGACCCCCAGCCCCCCCCCCCCCCCCCCCCCAAAAAAAAAAAAACAACTAAAAACAAAAAACAAACAACTCCACATGTTTTATAATAGTCCTGACTGAAAAAAGGCTGTCACGGAGTGAGCTTCATGTGTGACGTCAGAACTCTGGTTTAATAGTTTGATTTTTTTCTTGAGGGAGAGGTGACTATTAATTCGGTGTTATTGTTCGTGTTCCTCTGTCACGACACAAAGCCAGCTTCGTGCGTAACTTTTGAACTCCGGTAAACAGGTTGATTTTTTTTCATTAGATACATGTATAGATATATATGGGTCATGGACCGTCCTTTCATTTCGGGTAGGCCTAGATGTGCGCCTGTGAAGCTTTTCCGCAGTCTGTTAAAGGAAGGTATTGCTATTTTCATTATATTGCGACTGTTGTTTCGTCATTGCTATAAAATAAACCATAGTATCTTCCTTGACGACGGGTTTTTGTATAATGTTATCTTTATTCCGGGATCCGGCAACTGTCTGTTCCTATAAGTGGGTTATTTTTTTACACAAACTGTGACGGAGCCAAAGCACTTTCAATTCGACATAGGGCAGTAGATTTCGCTGCATATTATAGAAAAGGGGATGTTAAATTTCTTTTTTATTTGGTAATACTTGGGCACGCGTGTCCTGTGTTAAATCGCCCTGGAACGATTGGCAGTGTGGGGTAGTGGTGGGGGAAGATATCAAGTGCCCCGAAAGCTCCTCGGCCAAAAGTGGAGGCAGATGCTGAGAAAGGACTCATTAAGCCCCAACCCCAGATTTTTTTTAAATAAACTCAATATACACGGATTCATTTTGGTACATACCCGAATTTAGTTTTGCATCGATCTACACTTAATTTTTTCATTAGTAAGTCTATCTATTTTAAAAGGTGCCGGTGGGACGTAGCAGCGCTTTCAGTCAAAAACAACAACACAAAAACAACCGCATTTACTGTATATATTTAACATATACTGCTGCTTTGGTGCATCGAGAGAGTTAGATTAGGATCAGGATTGATTAGCGAAAGAAGCTGTTTGTCAAGTCTGGCTTGACCATAATTTTATTTTTAAATGGGTGGCAACACTGGATTCACCCCCTTTAAGGATGTCACCCGGAGCGGCCCGCACCCTCTAGTGACGCCACCGATGCATGGGACTGCATCCTTTCCAAGAGTTACTTAACTTCCAACCAGGGCTACCAGACATTAATACATTTTCTGAGATCTTGGGAATTTGGATAAAAAGTGAGTGGCAGCCCTGCTTACAACCAGCATTTTGTGTTCTGGATTCCTCGTCTGTTCTGTGCTGCAGGTTGTCTTGTGTTTTCTTGGTGTTCTTCATTTAACTTCAAATAAACCGAACCGTATTTATTATTATTATTAAAGCCGTTTTAAATAGCGCAGTACCCCAGCCTAGCCCTAGGCTCACCGCGCTTCACATAAAAATTAGCACTTACGGAAAATTATACATTTAAAAACAGCTTTGTGAAATGATTGACCTCACCCACCCAAGTACTTTCTACCCCTCCCTGGCCATGGACGGCTCCCAGCAGCATCGAGCGTTGTTCAACAGTCGAGGGGGGGGGGGTGGTGAGAATGAGTCGGTATAGTAGAGTTGGAAGAGATGTGTCTTGAGGGCAGTTTTGAAGGCTTGGTTTGTCGGTATATTGCGGATGTGTAATAGGAGAGAATTCCATTATTTGGGGACACAGACAGAGAAAGATTGTTCACTGTATGTTTTAGTGCGTGTCCTGGGAACAGAAAGAATACACGTGTCTGGGGAGGAGCGAAGCTTTTGAAGGCGTGAATAGACAGAAAAAGAACAGACAGCTTGTAATCTATGCGTGCCTGTAAAGCGAGCCAATGGAGTGAGTGAAGTAGTGGACTGACGTGATCACGTTTCTTTGCCTTTAGAACTAGCAGCTGCGTTTTGAACATTTTGCAGTTTTTCTATTAAGTGTTTTGGCGAACCTGACAGAAGAGAGTTACAATAGTCAAGACGAGAGAGAACAAAAGCACAGACTAGTGTTTTTGTTGAGCTAACTGTGAGGTAGTGGCGGATGGAGCGGATCCCTCAAAAAGCAGACTTCTACTGCAAGCAGTGTAAAGGAGAGCAACAACAACAACAACAACCACCACAACAAAGGGGTTACAAAGGCCAACTCAAAATCAGCGTGTGACCTTCTCTAGACAAAAAAGCACCTACAAACTGAGATGGTTGAAGATCTACTTTAACTAAAATCCTTCATTTTCTTACAAGCATGACTCTCATATAAAATCATATTTGTGGAGACCCATCCACATAAGCCATACTAATTATACACACTAGTGCGTCCGTCATATGGATTAAATCACGTCAGGTGGCTATTTTATTTTATTTGTACACTTGAACCTCTCGCCCATGACCCCACTAGAGTTCTCGTAGGTCGTGTCTCGCCCCGTCTCAGTTGTTATGAACGGGTGTTATCGTTTGAATGTGAAATGTTATGATTGGTAAGTTGTATCGGTACTGGTGTGTTCGGATGGTAAAAGTCAATAAACAATATGAGAGAATAAATATTGGGTTATCACGGTACGCAAGTTATTTTTCGTAGTTTTAGCCAATCAGTGTGTCGAGAGTAGTCTTAGTGTCAGTGTAAGTGTGGAATTAGGTATGCCGTTTTTGCAATTGTATTTTCTGTTATAGGATTCTACCCTCAAATAACAGAGAGTACAACAATATTTTAAAACAGTAAATATGGAATATGGGCTATTTCTTTAGTCTATAAAATACAGAAATCAATTTTAATATTAAAAAGTAGCAATTAAGAAATAAAAACATTTTTACAAACTAACTTTCTATCAAAGACGAGTTTTAACACACTAAAAAAGCGATTCTCAATCTGTGGGTCGCGACCCCTTTGGGGGTCAAACGACCATTTCCCAGGGGTCACCTAAGACCATAGGAAAACAATAATATACTCTACAGTTATGATGTAGCAACGTAAATAATTTTGTGGCTGGGGGTCGCCACAACATGAGGAACTGTATTAAATGGTCGCGGCATTAGAAAGGTTGAGAGCCACTGCACTAAAAGGCGCATAACGCCATTACGCAAAGAAAATCTGTGCAAAAAATATTTTTAAAAATTAAAACAAAAATAAAGTATATTTAAGTTTCATCTACCCTAAATTCATTTCAAATCCTTTGGCAGCACTTTTAGGCTACATTGAGTGCTTATTTACACTTCTGCATTGTTTTTCTTTGCGTAATTCCCCCCCCCCCACTATACTTTTTAGCGCGTTTATAATCATCTTCGATAGAAATTAGAAAGTATTTTAAAAAAATTTTTTCTAAAAATATTTTTTTGGGTAAAATGGGTTCTTATTTTACCTTTTTCCTTTTTTTTCTTTTCGTAAATTCCCCCCCCCCCACTATACTTTTTAGCGCGTTTATAATCATCTTCGATAGAAATTAGAAAGTATTTTAAAAAAATTTTTTCTAAAAATATTTTTTTATTTATGGTAACAATGTCAAACATGTCAGCTTGCCCGGTAAACCTTGTGTGACTGAGTCATTGAAGTTTCTCTTCCTTTCAGAGTATTATGCCATAATTTCACGTGATTTCATTCCGTGTGGTCATTTTCCTCTACATTTCAACATCGTTGATGAGCGTCTTCTCGACTCCAAAGGCGCCAAACTTTTTGACGCGTTTTATTTAGCGGGCATTTCCCCCGTATAAATTTAACATTAAATCTGAATTACATTTAGTCTTTACATCATTTAAACATTTTTTATCACATGAAGTTAAAATAAATTGAGTATGCATGCCATATTATTCAGGTACAGCAACTCACTATAATGAATTTGAGGAAAAACTCTTCATTCGCCCCCTTTATGAAAAAAAAATAAAATCGTTACAAAATCATCAGCACCTTTGTTACCATAACTTTCTATTTAATTTCTGTTATCTATACTCTTATCAATATATGCTAATTACTCTTTGTCTTTTTTTCTGCTAGTATTTCTTGATTGAGGCCAAACAAAGTATACCGATGGTCAAAAAGGGGAATATAAAATATTTAAAAAAAAAAAATCATTTAGGGGCCGCCCATAATTTAAAAGTATGTCACGCTCCGGAGGGGGATCTAGGAAAGAGTGACAGTTAGTGACATGGAAAGTCGAGGGTTAAATATCTTGTGTAACGTCACACATTTTTAAATTATACATTTAACACATGACATTGATAGTGATGTTGAACTTTCTGTTATGATGGATGTTTTCTGACAGAAGATGTCACTCATATAAATTTAATAGCTTCAAAGTGAAGTGTCATATAGATTAAATTTTGATTAGTTTTAAGTTTTCTAACTATATTTTCTTAGTTCAACGGTCGGGGGGGGGGGGGCGCTACGAGATTTTTGAGAGGGGGTAAAATGTTTAAAAAAACCAGCGTGACGTACTTTATGGATGGCCAACTTATGGAATAGCGAACGGGAAGGGGAAAAGTGTGTGTTTTCTCACTTGAATACCCTCGAAAATTCATGATTTTCTGATTTTACTTAAACTAGCGAAGGAAGGGAGG